TAATAATAATAAAATATAAGTCGAATAAATGTAGTTTAGCTATGACTTTTGAGGTATATTGCGCTTTTTTCTTAAGATTTTAACGGGCCGACAAACAAGCGTGTATGTTCGGTGAACCTTTTGCCTTTGCTGTTTATCGCGATTTTTTTAATCGGTTATTAAAGGACCATAAAAAAATGATTTGAAAATGATATTGAATCACATTCAGCTTTTCCAATAAACTCGTTTTCTAACGGGATACCTAAGTAATAAAAAGCTGTTTCAAATAAAAGATGTAGTTAAAGTTTGAAAAAATCACAAAAGAATTTATTATGCACTTAAAGCTATTGAAAATCGCTGTCCGCCTATTATAAAATAAAACAATACAATTTGTCACAGACCAGATATTTGTATTGTTCTGCTTTCATGTGTGATATTGACTGTACAAGTTAATTGATTTAGTCTTGGTTTCGTTCCCCTTTTTTTTTTTTGAGTCATAATCTCACAGGTAATTAATTTGACATGACGCAAAACCTTCTTCTTGATAGATGTGACCAGGAGGAGGTGGTAGGTACCAAATTTATTTTCTTCGCTCATTTTCGACCGACCCCCTTATAAATCGCAGCAGGGGTGTTGTACATACAAAGGTAGATGTACATATCTACACCTATATACATATAATATGGCTCTTAACAAAAATCAATACAGTACAGACGCAAATGCCAAGTTTCTTTTTTCCTTTTTCTGTAACGCCATTATGCACGACTATTGTTGTACAATAACAATGAATGAAGCCATTCTTCTTTATATAAAGACAAAAAAAAGGAATATGTATGTGTAATAATGCACATTATATACTACCGTGCGGCACACCCTGTTTACTATTTATTTTCGTCTATTGTACAGAGTTAACCCCATTGAAAGGGTGTCGTAAAAATTTAAAATTTTTTACGCGCTATCAAAATGATATACGTAGAGTTAGATACTACTTAGTAGAGGACTTACCGGCACGAAAGAATTGATGTGTAGTAAATTAACGTTGTGATGAAAGATGTTGGTCGGTTATCACTTCGAAACACCGAAGGTCGACGGATTTTGTAGCACCGGGGAATGAACTTTTGGTATCAACTTGTTATTAATTAAGTGAGTTGTGTGTGCGTGTACGATTGTGTTTTTTTGTCGTCGTCCACACTGGCTGCCCGAACACCAACAATTCATCTCTGCACCGGCTTTACCGTTCGAAACCTTTTATACCGGGGTGGGGATCGAATTCACGACTCACAGAAAGAGAATCCTCGATACTCAGATATATATGTATGTATATAAAACACTCAGCTCTTCATCTATTATATATGTATGTGTGTGTACTAGGCCTCTCCGATTAAAATGAGACACCGAGTGTCCGAGATTTTTGGACCCATTGTCTCTTAAATCGGTAAATATTTTTGCAATGTCATTATTTGACACGGTATTTCAAAACCGTTAGCACCATGAGATTCTACGTACTTTTTTAAATAAGTATTACTTCTCAAAGCTACTTGAACACTTTCCGCCTCCCAATAGTCTTACGAGCGCCTTTTTATGTTCCATGTTTTTGTATGTCTTAGCTAAAATAATACCGGAAAGTATCTATTTGACACCGTACTCCCAAACCGTTAGCACCTTGAGATTCTGCATACTTTTTGACATAAGTATCACTTCTCAAAGCTTGGTAAATACTTTCCGCCTCCCAATAATCTTACGAGCGCTTTTTTATGTTGAAAGTTTTTGCATGTCTTAGCTAAAGTAATGCCGGAAAGTATCTATTTGACACCGCACTCTAAAACCGTTAACACCATGAGATTCTGCATGTTTTTTTACATAAGTTTCACTTCTCAAAGCTTGGTAAATACTTTCCGCCTCCCAATGATCTCACGAGCGCTTTTTTATGTTTCAAGTTTTTGTATGTCTTAGCTAAAGTAATGCCGGAAAGTATCTATTTGACACCGTACTGCTAAACCATTAGAACCATGAGATTCTATATACTTTTTTATATAAGTATCACCTCTCAAAGCTTCTTAAATACTTTCCGCCTTCCAATGATCTCACGAGCGCCTTTTATGTTCCAAGTTTTTGCATGTCTTAGGTAAAGTAGTGCCGGAAAGTATCTATTTGACACCGTACTCCCAAAACGTTAGCACCATGAGATTCTACGTACTCTTTTAAATAATTAACACTTCTCAAAACTTTATAAACAGTTTCTGCCTTCTAATAATCTTACTAGCGCCCTTCTCAGAACAGAGAAATGGGTGAATAAGTTAAATGTAGTTTTTTGACAGTCGAATTATGTTAAATATTCGTTTCGTAGTTCAGTAATCAATCAAATATTCAAATAAATATTGGTTTGTTTATTATTTTTAAAAAATAATAAGGTGTAGGTAAAGTGTTTATCAGAAACAATAGAACTCGCTAAAAGCAATTTGTTCTAGAATCGAATATAATGCTTCTTAATAAAACTTAATTTTATGATTTTCCAATAAAATCCATTGTTTGAAAGTTTATATAACCCTATTATACCTATATTATTTAAATAGCCGTCAATTTATTTAAGTAGATGGATAAGAATGCTTTGCCTGTTCAGAATTTCTTTTATTTTGAAAAATATTTATATCCAGCCATGAACTAATTAATTAACTGTATTCCTGGTTAATCGCAAGAAAAATTACCAAGCAGCAGAGAGTTTTTTACACTCGTTTCCGGTTTATAAATATTTATATTCAAGTTTGTCCGAAGATTCACATCGCCACTGGTG